AACTAATTCCTAGATTTTGATTCAATAATTAGAGCTTTCATTATCGCGTAGATACTTTGATTCTTACTAATTATTTACACTTTCATTACTGCTTTGATTGATATAAATCATTTTCATAAAGAAATTTTTAGTTCATTTTTAAAATTTTTAATGTTTAATTATCTGATATATACTTCGATTGTTACTAATTATTTACAGTTGCATTACTACCTTGATTGATATGACTCATTTTTATCTGTAAATTTTTTATTATACATTGAATTCTTCGATTTTCACTGGTTATTTGTACTTTTATTATTGCCTTGCTTGATGTAGCTCGTTTTATTCATAGATTTTAATTCAATAATTAGAATTTTCATCATCTCGTAGATACTTTGATTCGCACTAACTGATTACACTTTCATAAGTGTCTTGATTGATGTGAGTCATATTAATGCAGAAAATTTTAACTCATTTATAAAACTTTTAATTTTTAATTATCCGATAAATACTTTGATTCTTACTAACTATTTACAGTTACATATAACTCATTTGATAAGACTCATTTCTATTCATTGATATTTCAGTTGATAAGACTCATTTCTATTCATAGATTTTTAATTGAATTCAATTGATGAATTTTTTATCCTCAATTATCTGATAAATAATTCTTACCTTCTTATTATTTGCACTTCTATTACTTCCTTGATTTATGTAACTCAATTCTAATTAAAAAATTTTGAATGACTAAATGATTAAAAATGAAAAAAATGCTTAAAATATTATAATTTTGAAGAAATTCACCCCTACAAGTTTAAACTTTTGGTTTCTTATCCCCAATATAGCCGTTGCTTATGACAAATGTAGCTCATTTCATGATATCCGTCTTTAAATCTTTGTCATTATTATTTATTTTTAGATTTATTATGTCTAGTAAATTATTAATATAATTTTTTACGAAACAATTAAAAATATTACAAATAGGAGGATCATTGAAAAAAAATTCTAGAATTTTGTCTCTAAGTTCGGAGTATTCGGATAATAATTTGCTTTGAATACTTGTTACAAGTAACTAAACAAAAATTTGCTGATTTAAAAAATTTCTGTATTTAAACTTAAATCTTAAGAGTTAGTAGGAAAAATTCCTCTCTTTTAAATGACATTATTTCATTTTCTGCAATTTCACAGGATAATTTTATTAAAAATAAACATTGAAAAATATGAATTAAAATATTTTTCAAAGACGTAATTGGGATGTTCACATATTTTATTTTACATTTTTATGCGAAATTAGTTCAAGTATCATTATATTTTTTTATACAAAGCGGAATTCATGTTTGGACGGTTCACAAATGTCTTATTATTGTTCCCCCTTCCCTTTATTTTTAGCTCCCCTTTGTCATACTTCACACCCTCTACTACTCTTTGTCATAACAATTTAGAAAACAGACGCATGCAATAAATCATGAACTTTAACCCTGAGTTTCAGTGACATTTTTGAGCATAATAATTCAAATGGCTTGATGTGTATTTTTTGTTCAAAAATAAACAAATAATCTAATAATATTTAATCTGATGAGTTTAAATGTTTTTTTTTTCTTTGGCCAAAATGTAGATGATCACACTTCTTGACCTCCTCACCACGTGACGTAATATGTTAAAGACCTCTTATTAGATTCTTAATTTTCAACTATCAACTGTCCATACTTTCTAACTTATTTATACCTCCATTATTGCCTGAATTAATATAACCATTTTAATTCGTAGATTTTTACTCGTTTAGCCCTGGAACAAACTACCTTTTTTTCAATACTTCAATGCAATTTTGGATCACATTGAGCCAAAATTTGCATAATGTGTCGTTTTTTTTATACACTCTGAATGCTCATCATCATCATCACAGTCAATCAGACAGCCCAATGTGAGCCAATGCCTTCCTCTGAATCGGCATTGCTCTTCCCCTTCCTATCTCCATAATAACTTCCGATTTATCTTTAATCACCAATTCTTTTCTTATGTACTACTGATACAATAAATACGATGCTTCGTTTTCTTTACTGAGCATTCTTAAAATATATGTTCATGGTAGTTTATACAGAACATCCTGTATAAGATTAATAAAATTCGATCGGCTAATAGAAACTATCGGTATAAATTCTTTACTTGTCAAAAAACGTGTTTCGTTACTTACTGTTCACTTACAATCATCATATTATAGCTTAAAAAGTGGCAAAGATAACCCGCAGACTTTAAAAGGTAGTGTATTGTATAGTAATCATATCAACGTATGCAATTAAAATATTGTAGTACATATTTGAATTTGGATTCCATCAAATCAGATTTTTCCTTTTGAGTGGTAGCTACAAGTATAAAACATTAGTTTCGCCCAACTTAACTTTACAACTATTTTCTCTGCCATTTACTTAAAACACAGAGTAACCGCACAAGAAAAGTTTCGATCACAGAGTCAACATTTTCTCAGATAAATTGAAATCGAAAACAAAATTTTAAAAAATAAATTAAATATTGAGACTCTACCCTTCTAGGGGTAAGGTATTCTCTCAACAAAGTTCATCTAGGAAGAATTTTTCATTGAAAATTGTATTTATAAAGTCTATTAATTAAAATATCATTTATCATTAACCCTACGTAATTAAACATTCCACCATTAAAATTAAACTGATGACTTTTGCCAATTTCGGGAGCTGATATGTTCTCACAACACAATAGTATGTACAAAGAATACATACACTACATTTTATCTACTATCTATAGTTTAATAAAAAAAAATAAGTACTTCCCTTAAAATGTACTGTTTTGTATGACATAGATAAAGGGTAAATAAAAAAAATAAGCACGTCTTTAATACGTAGACTATGAATTGCATGATTAGTACCAAAGTAACACTGATATAAGCTATTTAGGGTTAAGACGAAAAAAACCTATCATTAAGACCAGAAAGTTTGTTATGACCAATTGCATTTATTTTAACGTTATCAAGTACAGAGCTAAGGTAATAGCAATTTTAGCATAATTTCTCAAAGACGAACTACAATAGTATTGATTAGCTGCGATGAAATAAAGAAAAATCGATCTGCGTCATATAATTAGTGAAGTTTAACATACTCAATCCCCATTTTGTATTTTATAAATTTTTAATTATTTACATAATTATTGCATCGATAACCAATACCAGCTTTCAACTTGTTTAGATGCTTCCTCTCACCACAGAACATTATTAGGATTGTGCACGCAACGTGTACGACAGCGTTATGACATGCCAAAAACTTGTTATGGCCATCATCATCCCATTAATTAGTTCTGTAACTTATGCCAATACACGTGTCACTTATTTAAACATATTATCAATAACAGACTTGATTGTCAGCTGCTAATTATAAGGAATGTTCATTTGTTCAATCAACCTATTATTCTCCCTCAAAATTTTGAGATGAAATGTAGAGTAAACTGAGTTAAAACAGAAGAAGCTCCATGAAATAGGCATTTTCTTATATCGAAAATTGGCAACTGTTTTCCATGAGAAAAATATCAGAGACTATTAATAAGCGTAAAGTAAAATACGTTTTATAAGACTATGATTATACTTCTTTATTTATGGATGTTATACCTGCCCGTTGTCTGCATTAAAATATTAACATAGTAGACGAAAATACTATACAGGTAAATGCTCTTTAATTTATAATTTGACAATTTTATTTTATTTTATTTTATATCCGTCGTTAAACAGCCGACCCAATTATTTGGGTTTACGTCTACTAATGTTCAACTCTGTTGCCTTGTAATTTTGAACCACTCCAGAAGACAAGGAAACTCCTGGATCTGTACCCCCAGAGGTAATGATTTGTTATGGGAACATGGAAGACTTTGCGAACCCATGAACTATTGGACATGGGCCCAGTGCCCTACCAAACAGGTTATCCCGGTACTTAATTTGGCAATTGAAGAAAAGCTGTGATTTAAATTTTCCATAGCCTTGCTGCGTGCTTCGGGAAAAAAATATAAAAGTATAGAACCTGGATACTTAGGCCTAATAATTTTTTAGATTTTTTGTATCGAGGCTTAAAATACCTCGGGCTGTTATTTATTGTTGGTCATCATTAAAACCGGAACAAATTTTTTAAAAGTACTTGAGTACACGTTACATAAAACGTGAAAGATTTTGCGAATTTTTTTTGAGTGTGTAAGAGTGTTTTCCAAAGCTTTTTTTGCCAAAGAAAATAAGAAAGTCAAAGTTTGAGCGTCTTAAACTCGAAAAGCAAAACTATAGTTTTAAAGTAAACATTCTGTCATCCAGTAAAGAATTATCTGGGCTTTCAAATGGATATAAAGCTAAAACATTTAGGAAGATATCATGCGGTTTTTAAAAAAAATTGTCAATTCGGTAAAATTTGCAAATTTTGAAAAAAATATTTAAAGAAATGAATAATTTTCAATTTAAAAAGTTAGGTGTACAACAGTTATAAAATAAGCATATTGTTTGCAAGAAAAAATTATTTCGTAGGATGGCAGAGTCTTCGATGGATAGTCTAAACTTCTTCCGTCCTCTTGAAAAGTCTCTACTTTCTCTGCGTGATCTCCAATAATTACTTAATGCTCGCGAAATGTTGATCTGGTTGGTTAAACGAATAAGAGAAGTGAACTGAACAGAGGAAATATTTTAATAATGATTTTCTACAAAAAAAAGTGTTGTTTTATATTGCATCAGAATTGATAGTCCCCCCCCCCTTAACTTCTTCCTTCCTCTTAAAAAGGTCTCTAATGCGCAATCGCCAAACGGGCAATAATTACTTAACGCCTGCGAAGAGTTGATCTGATTAAACGGGTAGAAAGAGTTAGTCAAACGGTGGGATGAAACGATTTTCGAAATTCCATGCCTTTAATACAATTATTTTAAAGTACTCTGATTGGAAATTAATCAAAAATTGGATTACGGAAAGATCAAATATGTTCTGATCAAAACTGTTCTTGGCATTTATTAATATCATATGATTTTTTATAGAGATATTAATGAGTATAAAAAGTGAAAGTGGAAGCTCATATCACTGGAATGAAAGATCTCTAATGGATTGGAAGCTCAATGGTATGTCTAGTGACGGAGAGGTTAAGACACCTAAACTAAAACCGGCAAGAGTAGTAGAAAAACATACAAGGACATGTGGAAATCCAAAGAAAGAGAGAGAGCTAGTGGTTGTGTTTGGCCAAACGTCCAGTTTACATGGCGCGTCCCGAGTTTGCTCGCCAAGAAATTCCACAAAAATAACAAGGATATTCTACTCGTAAGTTCTATAGTAGTTTATAATATTTAATACCGAAAATGTAAAGAGAAATAAGTTACGATTGCGTACATGTATTATGTATGCTTATATATATTTATATATATATATTGATTACTTAGCACAAGGACACGCATGAAGCCATGTAGAACGCAAACAAACTAATTATGCGTTGAAGTTGCCAGGTACAAAGAACAAACATATATCATGGTTACTGTAAAACGCATAAACAAATAATAAATCTAAGTCAAGTGAAAGACAAAGACAAGAAAGAATTATATTTCAATAAATTCGATGAGCTATGCGGTTCCGTATTTAATTAACTCCACGTTAATTATCATTCTAACTTACGTGTAGAAACTTAGCTCAACTTTAAATATCAATCGGTAAAGAAGTTGCCATTGATCGAAAAATAGAAAATAGAAGAAAAAGAGATATTTTAGAGGGCACCCTGTGCTGATATTTTTCTTGCAGGATCCTGATGGTACTGTGCTTCTTATCAGTAACAATAGGCGTATCATCTCTTCTTCAAGAAGCATTCAGCAAAGAATCGACCATCATAAGCACCATAAATAAAGAATACTCCAGTGGACGAGATGAAGATCCCGATTACTTTCCAGAATACCCTCGAGTAACAGTATGCAGGAACCCTTCTTATAAAATAGGTAATGTCTCAACACTTATACTACCTAGTTATATTAATTTAATTTAAAATGATATTGTTGTCATTTTAAATTTCATTTAAAATGATATTGTTGTCATTTCAAATTTCATTTAAATTTCATTTCAAATTTCATTTAAAATGACATATTGTTGTGAATAACTCATTTTATTATTTCAATTGGAATCGATTTTACATTATTTAGGTTTATAGAAAAATGTTTCAAAAGTCAAACATACATTTAAAAAAAATGAAGGCAACTGAATTCAGATTTATTTTAAAATACTAATACGGTTGCATCATCTCCACATGCCATTCACGTTCATTTTGCTTGTGTTCAAACACTGTTAGAAATTTCTCGGAAAAAAATGGTTAAATAACAATTTATTGAGTGGCTATTTTCCGATATTTAATCAAAACTGTCAAATAACCATAAATAAAATGGTAATCAATCAGCTAAGTTTGAGAAAAACTGTTTATTAACTACTTTCACTTAAGCCAGTGGTCGGCAAAGTGCGGCTCCAGAGCCGCATGTGGCTCTTTGGCTCCTTAAGTGCGACTCTCGCACAAATATCCACGGAAGGAGCAATAATATTTTAATTTAAATCAAACTTGGTAAGAAAACAGCAGAGCAACTTTATTTAGGTTTATAGAAAAATGTTTCAAAGGTCAAACATACATTTAAGAAAAATTAACACAACTGATTTCAGATTTATTTTAAAATACTAATACGGTTGCATCATCTCCACATGCCATTCACGCTTATTTTGCTTGTGTTTAAACACTGTTAGAAATTTCTCGAAAAAAAATGGTTAAATAACAATTTATTGAGTGGTTATTTTCCCATATTTAATCAAAACTGTCAAATAACCGTAAATAAAATGGTATTCAATCAGCTAAGTTTGAGAAAAACTGTTTATTAACTACTTTCACTTAAGCAAGCAGAATTTTATCGCACCAACTAGAACCACCTAATGAATCTACTTAGTTCTTCGCAACTGCGTCATGACCAGCAGAACTGGAATTCGAGTCCTAGTGTTGACACCACAATATTTCCTCCATTCCCTTCAACGTATGAAGAATTTCCAGAGTCCGGCACTCTCCAATGCCCATTACCTTACGAGAAGCCGAGCTCCTATGTCCAGTTAAACAATCAATTTTTTTTTTACGTTTTTGAAAAATACTAGTTGTAAATGGTTAAAAAACCGTATAGTTTTGCATTCATGGTTCTATAGCCATACTTTTTGCAAATGGTTTCAAAACCATAAAGGGAAAAAATTGTTCCTTAACGTAAACTTTACGGTTAATCGGATGGACAGACAGCTGCCAGTTACTTTACCATAATTTCAGAATGAAACTTTTAACAGTGTACACGGCATAATGAAAAAGAAATTAAATCATTATTAAAAGCCGTAATAATGAGTTAATTTTTTTTAATAATGATTTAATTTTAATAGAACTATAACATAGCATACATCACTGATGTTATATTTTAAATTACAAAAAAAAAAGGGATTCATTAGCATTTTTAATTGCTGCCACAATGTTTAAAGATAATTCTATGAGGAAAATTATTCGTCACTCGTTCCTCTCGAACAAACAAATTTATAACTTTTGACGACTTTTAAGCTAGGGCACTAAAATTTGTCCTTTACAACCGTTATCCAATTTTCAGGATTCTTACATACTGGCATAAATGGTTCAGGAATTCCGTAAACCAGGGCGAGTCTACCCATTTTTTCAGTTTGTCAACTTTCAAGTGGTCAAACTTTTGTAAATATTAAAGAAAAAAGGCTTTTAATAGGTGTTTCGGAAGATATACTCCAACTTTGAACTATATTTCAATGATGCTTAAAATCTCAAAAAATGTGCCAAATGTCAAAATCGCCAAACTTTATTTCCTGTATTTTATCCATTCGTACTAAAAAAAGTTTATTAAATGCTTTTAGCTTTTAAATTAATATTGTTAAATTGCTTAATTATATTAAAACAGCATAAAATTAAACTTTTTATTTTATTTTGGACATTAAGAAAAATTAATTTAAACAGAACAATGCGCTAAAATTAGTAACAGAAAAATTTTTGCTAATTTCCTCAAAGGATTTGATTATTTAANAGGTCTCCGTCGGTAAAAAAAATTTTATTTGCAATTTAAAATAGTGAAAATTAAATAAAACTTAAATGGGTAGACTCGCCCCTGGATGGGTAGACTCTCCCCGGTTTGCGGTTATAAAAAATCTACACAGACACAAAAATTTGTAAAAAAAAATCTTAAGTGCAAAACAGTCGAAAAGAAATCTTCTAAAAATGCCTCATAATGTCTCCAAAAATATAAAATACTTTTAAAACTAATGAAGTTTGAAATAGCTATCAAAATTAATCATGCCCCTATCTAAACTTTCCTTTTAATTAACTGTGATAGAACATATTGCGCTAGTCCTGAATTTGTAAAAGCAACTGAAAATTTGACACGATATCGTTTTATTCTTTTGCAGATATCAATGATACTTTCTTAAGCCTTGTAGAATATGCCTCGATTAGTCTAGGATATCCTTTTATGTCTTTGAGCCCACAAGAAATATCTATGATTGCGGAATTGGTTGATCCTGATGCTTTGACCAATGTTGCACGAAATCCAACATTGGATGAATTCAAAATGAAACTTGAGAATGCCGAAAAGCGATATCAGGAATTGAAAAAGATGCACAAGAACTTTAACTTAAGGAACTTTCTTTTCGAAAACAGCGTCAGGTATGTTTTTATTTTAGGTTTATTTCTACTTCATACAGGCGTCTGTATTTATATTTCTTTTTAAAAAATTGTGCAGGGAAAATCTAATAGCTTCTTTTTCTCTCTTTATCACAAAAGAATCCTTTCAAGTAATAATACTCAACCAAATCATAAAGGATAAGGGGGTGCAGGATACCAACAATGTCAACCTTTATCTATCAAAAGATAGAACCGAGTTAGCATGTCTTATACACTAGAAAATGGGAATAGTAGTGATAGCTACGCAACATTACTCTCCGACCAAAATTTTATCTATAATCGGATTTAATAAATGGATACCACTAGTTATTTCATTGCCATTTTACGAGAAGTCGAGAGAGGTGTATTAAGATCACGGTTGTAGGCATGGTCGATCCTTAATTGCTATAGACAGGGTTAGCCCTTAAGTCACTTCACGTCACAAAAAATAGCGTCTCTGAATAAGGAAATTTTGAACAAATTTCAAAATAGCTCCCCCGAAAAATAGCTCCCCTGAATGAGAAAAGCCGACTTATCCGCCATTTCGAAATAAAAGCTTTTCCCAATGCGGAAGAAACACAAAATTTGGCAACTAAGATAATCCGTAAAAAAAAGCGTGTTTGCTTACATCGATTTAATTATTTTTCGAAATTCACTTGCACAAATTCATTACAAAAATTATAATTATTGTTATTTAAAATAAAAATGTTATTCATTACTAGACAGAAACAGTTTGTGCACATTTTTGGTTCCTTAATAATAATAAAATAAAAAAATAAACAAGCAAATGAAGAAGAATCAGTAAATTTATAATTGCTTTGGATGTAAGTTCATCGAAAATTTATCCTGGTTTTGGACAACTTACTCCTTTCTGTCATTTGGTTGAGTTCTTAAGGAATTTCGAACACTGAAAAATGTTAGTACTGAAAAATATCTTCCCTATTTACTTCAAGTTGAGATTCCTCAAAATAACCTTGCAAAAATATGAGAAATATATTTTTATTTTTCCATAATTACTTCATACTTAATTCCATAATTCATACTTAAATTAAATCACATTAAAAGATTCAAAGCTTAAATTTTGTAAATAAACTGCCATTACCTTCTCTTCAAATTTAATTTTAATCAATTTTTTTAATTAATTTAATTACAATTTTAAAGAAAAGAAACACTTTTAGATCCAAAAAACGCATGAAAGATCGTATATTAAGTAGATTTCTTATTATAAATGTAAGCAAACCATTTGAACTTTAAGTAATATATTACCATAAGTAACTAAAAAAAAACTTAAATGAGCTAGGATTATAAAACTAACTATCTGACGTATTAGTGAATCGAAATGGATTACAAAAAGAAACAAGTAAATATTCATTTTTAACAAAACTAAAGGAAACACTTAAATGTGAATACAAAACTTGGCAATTTTGTGGAAAGTTTAGCGAATACTTATTCAGCCAATCTCTATTCTTTATTTACTGGTTTTATACCTCACAAGCACTCAAAATCATTAAATAAATTGTTAAATGTTGTTTAATGCCAGTCTTTTTGAAGTGAGTTGAGACTACTTGGTACAGTATTAAATACAGTTTTGAATCTTTGCATTATAATATTTGCATTAAAAATTTATCTTAAATTCAAGTAGGAGAAAAATATCCTAAAAGTTACATAAATTTCAAAATAAACAAACATTAATTAAATTTATGATAAAAAGAATTGAGAATAATGTTAACGTTTCACCAATATCTTTTAATCAAATATTGAAATGACAGAAATCGAAACTAATAACCAGTCCTTAATTTTTACTTCAGAATTTAATTAACCTTAAACTAAAAATGAATGAATCTATTGCATCAAATCGATTATTTTCGATCCAAACTAGCTCCTTAATGTAATTAAATGAAGTATTTCGTAAAAAAATTTGACGAGAATCATATATCACTTTACGATCAATGGGATACGTTATACATAGAAACAATGGGAAGGATTCAGTTCAAGACAATGTTTGGGACACTGAGAGGGAGGGGATGATGGCTGACGTCATGATCTACTTCATCACTGACGCTTTCTATTGGCTGTAGAGAGGATACAGGGCCCCCCTTGCGCGTAAACGAAACTGAGTAGCAACAGCGAGAAGGAGAACTATGTCACAGATACAAATAGCAAGTCAACTATTCACTGTGAACATGCATCAAACTAGATGCGTTCAAATCGAAGTTAATGCTTCAGTCGAGGTAGGCGTGTTCAGATTACGTCTGGGTCACCAATGTGAATGCAGGCTACCGACAATGTCTACCAGCAATCAAAAGTTACCTCAATATATAGAATCAAGTTAACATCTCTTATATACTGGAGCATACGAATTGATTGTTTGTAGTGGTAGTTACGCTACAGATTAATCTTATTCGTTTACATTATGAAGCAATTATAAGAAAATAAAACAGCATTTCAAAACTTCAAAGAATTTTTGAGTTTGATCATGCATCTTTACCAATTTAGAGAATAGAAATTAACTTGTCACAATCTTCTCTTCTCTAACCATAAACTTCGCTTAATTGTTTCGTTTCTCTATATTTAAATAAAACGCAAATTATATTTAAATAAAATATAGCATTAAATGGTCGGGACAGCCTGGTTGGAAGGGTGTTAATCCCATATCCAAACGGTCGTGAGTTCGATCTCCAACGGGCAAAGACTCCCCGTGTAGTAAATGGTAATTGGTGCACCTTAAATCTTTCGGATCTCAAAGTCCTTCATGTTCCCATAACAAATAAATAATTCAGGGGGTACTGAATTGGAGATTAATCGTTCTCTGTTTAAGGTCGAAATTGCGATTTGTGAATGAATGAATGGGTCCACCCTATAAACGGGCTGCGACATACATGTGTGACAGAAGTCGAATTCTTGGCTATAGATAGCGAAAAACTAGCGCACTAACTTTGCCTTATTGGCATAAGACAACAGCAACAACCATATTCGATGCATGCTGTTCTCATAGACAACTTCGAATTAGATATATGTTGTGATTTAAATACATAATTTTTCACAAAAAAAATGTGATTAATTTGCTTGGTTTTGTTTAAATTTTAAAAACCTTTAAAAATTCTTTAACTTAAGTGTGATTTCAAAGTGTTACTGTGGGGAAATTATGACAGATAATTAAGCAATTTGTGAGACTGTATTCTTTTTAGGTGTGAAAATTTCTTTCGGAGCTGCGTAATTTTCATTTACGATTTCAATTGCTGTGAAATTTTCGAACCCATTCTGACTTCGTCGGGTCTGTGCTTCACCCTCAACGTATACAACAAGAAATTGGAAAATCTGCTCAAATCTCTTGATATGACGTTCATATTTACGATTGATCTCGTTTCACCTCCTTTTTTAGGTAAGTTATTATCTTACTATTATCATTATCTTAATATGACGCTCATATTTACTATTGATCTTATTTCACCTCCTTATTTAGTTAAGTTATTATCTAATTATTATGATCTTAATATGACGTTTATATTTACAATTGATCTCGTTTCACCTCCTTATTTAGGTAAGTTATTATCTTACTATTATTATCTTAATATGACGCTCATACTATTTACTATTGATCTTATTTCACCTCCTTATTTAGTTAAGTTATTATCTAATTATTATGATCTTAATATGATGTTTATATTTACGATTGATCTCATTTCATCTCCTTATTTAGGCATGCTATCATCTTAAGTATCAACAATGTGCTAATTCCATCTTCAAATGAATAGAATAAAATAGAAATTTCTTTATTTTATTTCTTCTTTGCATTAATTTTTTTTTAAATGAACTGAAAAGAAGAAAATAAATATATTTTTGTCAAATCTAAAAGACAAAAAGTCGAAAGCCTCATTTTCGAAAGACGTGGAGGGAGATTTTCGGTTTTCATGAAAGCATATTATTGTTTATGTCAGCTGTTCCCAAACGGTGTTGCGCGGAACCCTAAAGTTCCATGTAAGGAACACAGAGGTTCCGAGAGTTCGGACTTTTTTTTAAACATTTATGATTTTCGAAACCTGCAATTAAATTCAAGTCCAGTTTATATCCATTATTTATTTAATATTTCCATTATTTTTATGAAAATTCAAAACAGTTTTCTTTCCAATAAAATGAACAAATAATGAAAATGATATGCATTTATTGAAAATTGTATCAGCATTTCGCAACGTATAAAAATAACTAAATTCAAAATAGAAAGAACATGTTTCTTACGTTTTATCATTCTCGTTTTTTATTTTTTCGTCCTTTATCATTTATATTTTAATAAAAATCATATTTAAGTTCATTCATTTCCAGTTTATGCATACACTAAAATGAAGGAGCTACACATACTCTAAAGTGAATTGAAGAACTAAACTATATGCCAATTCAGACCTGTGAATCCAATTTATCGTATATTTAAACTATTTATCTAAAAAAATACAAAATTGAAAATGACCTCAAATAAAACTCAAGGGACTTCAAATCAAATAATTAAGAAAACTCTACCATTAAGTTTAATAAAAAGACGATTTATTAACTCAACAACAAATTATAGCATCACCGTTCCGAAGACAAATCTTGCACTCATTCAAAAAACTATTTACATTCCAAAACTATCACCATGGCAACCACAGAACTCTACTCGTTGCCATATACTAACAATCATATAATAAGTACATTATTTAACAAAAAATACGATGCCCACAAGCACATAATATCTTACAATTTAGCAAAATTCTTGTGTAAAATTATGGTAGGGCTTGCTTCAGACGTAAAACAAATGTTTTTGGACCCTTACTATACTAGACCAATATTATTTATTGAGGTTTAGATTTTACTTCATCCCTTAAAAGCGTGTGAGAATCTCTTCGATATCAACTTAAAATAACATGTAAGGGAAGGTTTTTTATCTTCCTAC